ATAAAATTGTTAGTTGGTCATATTAACTTATTCACCAAGTAAAACACTTGTGAGATCAGTTATTTATTTAAAAAATTTTTTTTTACTTTATACGCTATTTTTACTGTAGAGATCAGTTATTTTATGAGTAATAATTTAAAATTAGTATCACCTCATTCTCTGCTCTCAGATTTGCAAATTCACTTTTCTCTAGGATGACCATGTCTTTCCTGATAGAGTCCAAATGAGCCATTAGCTGTTGTACTGTTATTTCCTAGAAAACAAAATAAAAATAATCTAGTGATTTATGGAATGCCATCCTTTTATTTTTATTTATTTTTTGAGACAGAGTCTCACTCTGTTGCCCAGGCAAGAGTGCCATGGCATTAGCCTAGCTCACAGCAACCTCAAACTCCTGGGTTCAAGCAATCCTCCTGCCTCAGCCTCCTGAGTAGCTGGAACTACAGGCATGCGCCACCATGTCCAGCTAATTTTTTTCTATATATATTTTTAGTTAGCCAATTAATTTCTTTCTATTTATAGCAGAGATGGGGTCTCGCTCACGCTCAGGCTGGTCTCAAACTCCTGACCTTGAGCTATCCTCCCGCCTCAGCCTCCCAGAGTGCTAGGATTATAGGCGTGAGCCACCAGCCAGCCTGCCATCATTTTATGGAATTGTTTTCATGAAATTTAAAAGAATTTGTTAACATGCTACAACGTATGATGTTGATTGGCTAAGTAAAAAAAAATATGAAACCTAAATATCTGAAATATAGAAATGAAAAAGAAGAGATTTAAGAAAGAAAAAAACATTGTTAAGTAGTCAACTAAGTGTGCTTGTTGTAACTACTGTGGAGCCATCAGAATATTCAGATTATAAGCAAATTCACAATATAATTGAATTCTTAGATTGAGGAGACTTGACTTAGTATAGCCCTTTCTGAAGTGATCAAAGTATATAGCTTGTTATGCCTATGGCCCTGAGCCTTAGCTCCATCCTTCATAACATCTTTGAGCCTTATTCTATCCTATGTCAGCAATAGGGTTAGGCTCAAGGGTAGAACGGGACTTTAACTTCACACACCAATAATAAAAAAGCCAAAAGTTTAATAGTAATATCCCTGTACCCAATCCTACATTTTGTATGTAGGATTAAATGGTCCTACCAGCATGAAGACTCCTCAAATCATAGTTTTAATTCACTTCTTACATTACAGGTAAAATTATAAAAATTAAAGAGTAAATTACTTTTGTTAAAAATGTCAGTAGCTCCATATAGCCTTTTCAAGGTTAGCTCAGAGCTTTGTGGGAACTAATTAAATGGTTGGCTTTTTCTTTAGAGGATTTACTATGATCCCAGGTAAGCTAGCTAAAATAATGCATATACAAATTTAAAGGTAAGTTAAAGGTAGGGGCTGAATGTTTTAATTCTAAGTGTCTATTTGGACATTACAGTAAAAATCTTTAAAAGCTTTTGATTCTCAATGACCCTTAAAGTAATGACATTTTATGCAAGGGATTCTAATTCTATGTGAGAAATCCTCATTTTTCTTTCCATGCTGTAAAATATTTATCTGAGGAAGACTAGACTTAAAAAATTAAAATTTAAAAAATATTACCATGGGAAGAAAACAGAATCTTGAACATAGTGAATTATTTATGATTGACAGAAATGAATTATTATTCCAGTTAAGTTCATTTAGCCTATTCTATCCTTTATATAAAATTACTGCTTTTTGTCCATATCACTACAATGAAAAGTTACAAATTACTCCTGAGTCCGTCTTCCATGGCAAAATAGAATTTTACCTACTTTCTGAGGCTGTTAGAGATTAAATAATATATGAAAAGTACCCAGCACTTTGCCTCTTACATCTTAAGTTCTTAATAAATAGGACTGACTTTAAAGATGTTTATCGCCAGTCAAATTAAATCATCTTAGCCAGGCAATTTATTAAGTTGTTCCCTGGCATGCAAGTCCCTTTGAGCTTTCTAAGTCTGTGAAAATTACCCAAAACATACATATGACAGCAGTAAAATATACTTATTATATAGAAAGGTTAGTACTTCTACTGTGGTGGGCTTTCTGGGAGAAAAAGTTATTTCACTAACAATGAAAGATTTGGCAAAATTCTGTTCTCCGTGTTACAGTCTTGTTATAATTATTTTAACTCTTTAGTCCTAGATACTAACTTTACTAATGGTTTTTCTTTTTTATTTTGTGGTCCCTTTAGAGAGAACAAGGAAGATATAGGTGTGTCTGGAAGGCCAGTGGGTAGACAGAGATATAGTTATGAAAAAGATTACCTAATAAAACTGTCAGAAGTGATAAAAATGAATATATTACCTGTTGAGCTTGAGTGACCATCTCCTTATAGATAGTATCCAGGGTGACATTTGATAAAGTGGTTAATGCTGATACAATTGTTTCTGCTTGTGTTTTGTCAAATCCTGTAGGCAGCAAATAGGTATTTGTATTTTTTAAAAAGTGCACATTCTTGTAAGAATAGAGCTTTCTACAAGACTTAAGTTTTTATACTCTTTTAAAAAAATGGTTACAATTAAATATTTGACAGATAAAAGCACTCTACAATTCTAATTTCCTTGTCTTCCCTCACATCTATATCAACACTGGATATTCCTAGGCTTTTTTATTTAAAAAAATTTTTTGGCTGGGCACAGTGGCTCACGCCTGTAATCCCAGCACTCTGGGAAGCCAAGGTGGGTGGATTGTTTGAGCTCAGAAGTTTGAGACCAGCCTGAGCATGAACGAGACCCCGTCTCTACTAAAAAAATAGAAAGACATTAGCTGGACAACTAAAAAATGTATACATATAAAAAAATTAGCCGGGCATGGTGGTGCATGCCTGTAGTCCAAGCTACTCAGGAGGCTGAGGCAGGAGGATTGCTTGAGCCCAGGAGTTTGAGGTTGCTGTGAGCTAGGCTAATGCCATAGCTCCCTAGCCTGGGCAACAGAGTGAGACTCTGTCTCAAAAAAAAAAAAAAAAAAAAATTTTTTTTTTTTTACAGACAGGGTCTTGCTCTGTCACCTAGGCTGGAGGGCAGTGGCCTGATCATAGCTCACTGTAACTTTGACCTCCCAAGCTCAAGCAATCATCCATCTCAGCCTCCCAAGTAGCTGGGACTACAGGCATGTGCCACCATGCTTGGCTAATTTTTTAAAAAATTTCTTGTAGAGACAGGGTCACATTATATTGCCCAGGCTGGTCTCAAACTCCTGGTCTCAAGCAACCCTCCAGTCTCTATCTTTGGAATTGCTAAGATTTCGGGCACTAAGCCACCTGACCAGCATTTTTTTGAGTGTATAATTGGCATTAAAAATGGCACCGCATTGTTATTTTAATTTGTACTTAAATTTACATTTCTTTGATTGGTAATGAGGTTAAGCACCTTTACACATATTTTTTGGTTATTTATATTTAGTTTTCTGTGTGCTACTGTTTAAAGCTTTTGCCCACTTTTTCTATAAAGTTGTTGATCTTTTATATTTAGCTTTTCATCTATCTGAAATTTAGTTTTCAGTAAAGGGATCTAATATATCTTTTCTCAATGGCTAGTCATTCATTGTAGCTTATTTATTAAATAATCCTTCCTTTCCCTAATTTGTAATGCCTTTATCACATGCTAAATTCATATACATATGTGTCTGAATACCATTCGGTTCTATTAATCAACTTTTCTATTCCTGTAATAACATATGATTTTAGTTACTGTTTTGATATACGGTAATTTTTTGTGTTGTTCTTTGATTTTTTTCTATTATTCTTAAACATCTGTACTTCCACATAGACTTTAGTATCAGCCTGGGAACTCTAGTTTTTTCTTTTTACATAACTGGAATTATTCTGCGCTTACAATTTTATATAATGCTGTTTTCAATTAACATATTTTGAGCATATCAGTAAATGTAAAATATTTCTGGATGGTACTTCTATTTAAATAGCCTTAGTTTTTGTAACAGTGATACTGTCTTGACTAGGCAATTTATTGTATGAATGCTATATTTTTCTTCTTTCAAGAGGTATTCATGTCTCTCACCATGAGTTTCCAAGTCTTGCACCAATGCATGGGTATCAAAAGTTAATTTTCTTTGTTCTAAAGGAGTTATGTCCACTGGCCTCCGATCATATCCTTCCTTGGTTGTGGTGGTGAAGAAATCTGAAAAGAGAATACAACACCTTTTTTTCCCCCTTGTAGTAACTGATAGAGGTATTATACTGTAGCTTCTATATCATTTTCCCCATCTATTTATAATATAGTTCCAGCTCTTCTAATTGGGAATTTTATAATCACACACAAGTTAATTGACTCTCCTGAGCCTCTCTTTTATCTGACATTATTCTCAGTCAGTCTAAAATTGTAATATAATGTACATCAAATGCTTTGGGTATCACTGCCTCAACTCTAACTGCTGAAGAGCACAAACTTTCCAACTTTGACTATGTATGCTGAGAATACAGAAGGATATGTGGAACATTTATTCCTTATATGTGCTCAAATATTTATGTAATATTTTGCTTAGTCCCCACAATCCTATGAGGTAGGTGCCGATACCCTCCCTGGCAGTAGGACTTAAGTTTCACTCCTCCGTAATAAAGCCCCTGGGTATTTGTAGTAGGGTATTATGAGCAGTTCAACTCATAAGTGCTCCTTAGAGTCTTTGCAGGGATATTAATAGGTAGAGATGAAACAACCAGAATCAGTGATTCCAGGTCAAGGTGGAATAACAGGCCCTTAATAATTTAAGTTCCCAGAACTTAAACACTGTCTAAACTGCCAAATCTTTCATTGTTACTTTTGATTCTTTCATGCTTATATTCTTTTGGATATTAATAGGTAGAGATGAAACAACCAGAATCAGTGTTTCCAGGTCAAAGTGGAATAACAGGCCCTTAATAATTTAAGTTCCCAGAACTTAAACACTGTCCAAACTGCCAAATCTTTCATTGTTACTTTTAATTCTTTCATACTTATATTCTTTTTTGTTTTGTTTTTTACAGTGCGAAACAAATTCAGAGTTTAAAGCCTTCACAAAGCAACTAAGTCATATATTGTGGATTGGAACTCTGGCCCATCTTATACCAAGCTCCTTTTTACTGGCAAAGTCCAGAGTTTACTTTTGAAAAAAACATGGAAAATAGTGTTTCATTAAATCTAAACTGTAAGCTTTATATTAATTTACTGCTAACTTTAGAGCTGAAACACTTCAGTGACATGGCTGGTTATTTTTGTCAGGAACTCAAAGAATGGGCATTACAGCATATGTTCTTAAATGCTGGTCTATTAACATGCACTACACTCGTCGCATCAGAATTGCCAGGATTGATACATTAAATAATAAACTAAGAGATCCCTGGGCTCCACCCCTAGAGAGGGACTTAGTTGTTCTGGGATAGGGCCTGAGAATCTCTATTTTTAAAAGCATTTCTAGTGTTTCTGATGTTCTAAGTTTGCATAGTAGTAATGACTAGAAGTCCAGCACTACTAGGCATAAAACGAAGACAAATCACATTACCTTCCTATGTCTTTGCTTATTTATCTTTAAAAAGGGAATTGGACTAGATGATAAATAAGGTCCTTCTATGGGTCAGAGGTCAAAAGGTTTCAAATTCCATGATTACTGACATTATTAGGTAAATTTAAACTCATTGTACACAGCAAACATTCAATAAATACCTGTTGAGTGAGGAGGGACACAAATCATAATTAGTTGTAAGAGGAGACTTAAAGTTTCTCTAAGAACTCTCAGACTCAAGTGGGATAACTCCATTAAGTTAAAACATTAAACTTTACTTATGGTGACATATTTCCCAGTATGATATGTACTTCAAAGTTCATTCTCTAAAAATGTTTAATTTTATGTTTTTATTTGCATATGTAAAACAAAGAATATCTCACAGTTAACAAAGATGAGATCTGGATGATTTTCTAGGATTCAAAAAATGCCACCTCCTGTTTGCAAAGTCCATTATAATGTATGTGCATGCTAAACACCCAAATATGTAACCAGACTTTGTGAATGACCTTGCCAGCTAAACAGCAATCTTATAGATCAGCAGTCCCCACCCATGTTGGCACCAGGGACCGGTTTCACAGACTACAGTTTTTCCATGGATATGGGGAGGCAGGAGGATGAGGGGATGGTTTCAGGATGTTTCCAGCACATTACATTTACTGTGCAGCCAAACCTCTCTGCTAATGATAATCCGTATTTGCAGCTCTTCCCCAGCACTAGCATCATCGCCTCAGCTTCACCTCAGATCAGGCATTAGATTCTTACAAGGAGTGCGCAACCTAGATTCCTCGCATGCACAGTTTACAGTAGGGTTCCCGGTTCTATGAGCATCGAATGCCTCCACTGATCTGACAGGAGGCAGAGCGGTGATGCAAGCCACGAGGGGCAGCTGTAAATGCAGATGAAGCTTTGCTTGCTCGCCCACCGCCCACCACTCACATGCTGTGCAGCCCTGTTCCTGACAAGCCACGGACTGTTCATCAGTCCATATCGGTCCTTGGCCTAGGGGTTGGGGACCACATGGCAGATCAGCAACTGCAGTTTTGACTGCAGCTGTCACTGGTGTGAGTAAATGAAACAGTGAGCAACAAAGTGAAACTTCAGAGCACAATTAACAGTGTAGAGGTGGGAAGATGTGTTTGGGTACTGAATGGCTCAGTTTACCTGGCAATTAAGATTTAAGAAGGTAAACAATACTAAGTACGAGGTGCCTATTTTGTGGACAAATGTAAGGAGTATAAAAATTGGGAAAACAAAAACAAGCCAACTGTTGAAACATTTCTCAGAATAAAGTCAGATGTTCTTCAGGATGCACTAACAGGGGTGCAACTGACAGGTTCCAGTATTCATTTTGTTTTTGAATGGCTACGATATGATTGCAATGTACCGAGAATTACAGCAAGAATAAAGCAGACCTGACGTGGGCTCGAGGCTAGAACCTAAGTAAGTCTAAATTTGGAGAGTAAAGAAAAGAAATCCCTATGCTTGCTCCTGAGAGACCTACGTAATTACCGGCCTCCTGTCACAGAAAAAATGGAAACCCGGGCTCAGGAAGAAGCCGGGCGAGATGCCCAGGCCTTCAGAGGCTTGCTCTCAGAAGTGAAAGGCGGTTCTCTTTTCAGTCCTAGAACTTTGGGGCGAGCTTGGGCGAGTTGGGCGAAACCTCGGCCCAACCTCGGCGATTGGTATCGCCGGCATCAGGCGTGGACTGGGGAGGGCGTGGCACCTTCGCCTCACGTTCGCCTAGCGGGCACAACCCACCGGAATCGTATCCCTAGAGAGCACTCGGGCATCGTTAACACGATGCCTCGTCTCACCTCTCCGCAAGACCGGCGAGAAATGCCCCCGGGGAGTTGAAGCCCAGCAGTTCCCTCTGCTTTTAGAGTTCAAGAGCCGCCAAGCCCACCGACTCCTCATGTCCTTAGAGGTTTCCGGTTGGTAGGAGGAGGCGGAAGTCGGGCTGAATCTCGCTCAGGCTTTCGGGAAGGGTAGTTCTGGCGCCTCAAGAATCCTGGGAAATGTAGTTTTCGATCTGTTACACGACAAACTTCCACCGCAGGAGCGAACCGCGGCCCCTCCAAAGCTGGGCCTCTTCACAGACGTGCCCACAGTTCACTAGCATAGCTCAGAGCTTCTCCGCTTCTCCCACCGCCCCTTCCCGACCTGTGAACACCGTTACCGCCCTAAGACAGCGGGATCTTGTCGGAGAACCTTCCGGCGCCCATTTCCTGGCAATGAGTCCAACAGCAGGTTCCTGCTACTTAGCAAGTGGCCGTTGTGCGCCCGCCTCGGTGGGAGACGGAGGCGTATCTAACCGCACAGCCACCTGGGGCCTGAAGTCCTCGGCCGCCGAGCGTCCCGGAGGGCCGTGCGTGGCGCAGAGGCGGACAAAACCTTCTGGGAAATGTAGTCCGGCGAGCAGCTCGTTCGTGCCGCCTCGCATCCTCCTGCGTCGCCCTCTGGTGCGCGGGAGGACCAACCATTTTAGCTGGTTTATTCCCGCTCTTCAGAGGAACTGAATTCCTCCGTGGACCTCATTTTCTCTGTTTATCCCTCTCGGACCTCAGTTACTCCGGACTTTGCTTCGCATGGTAAAATGCCGAAAGTAGTAATGCACAGTAGTTGCTGTGGTGTTCGAATGCGTTAATATACGTGAATACTGTTTATAAATCCTAAAATGGTGCACAATCGTTAGGTTTTAGTGGCTTAATTATTCTCACAAGAAGCTAAACAGTTACCGCCAGGTTTCCTATCTGTGTATTCAAAGCTCTGTGAGAGTCAGCCCTGTAACAAGCACCATTGTAAGCACTGAGGCGCATTAAAAAGAAGAACAAAACTTGATTCCCGCCAGCAAGGGCTTTAACAGATAATTCATGGCGAGGAAATATAAATTGCTGTTTTAAAAATTGGAAAAAAGTTTAATCTCACCACTAAAAAACCAAAACAAAACATTTTTTACCTATCAAAGGGTTTAAAAAAAAAATTTCTCAATGCTACTGAATATGCAATTAGATAGGTTACTCACGCTGCTGACAGAAGTGTGAATAAGTACAACATATTTGGAAAGAAATTAAATAGTATATATGAAGCTATAAAAAGTGAATATCTAAGAGTTTCACTTCTGAGAAGCTATCCTAAGAAAATAATCACATCTGTAGCTAAGATTTTCAAAAACGATGGATATTTCAGTGGTATTTATAATAGTGAAAAATTAGAAATAATCTAAATATTCAAAAGAGACTCAATGAGTTGCAAAACGGAGGCTGAAGCAGGATATTCACTTGAGCCCAGGAGTTTGAGGTTGCAGTTAGCTATGATGATGCCACTGCATTCTACCCTAGGCAATAGAGTGAGACTTTGTCTCAAAAAGAAAAAAAAAAAAAAAAAAAACTTGCAGAAATACCCCAAGCTGGAATAGTATGCAAACATTAAGTATTTTTAAAAATAATCTTAGATACAGAAAAATTCTTGTTTTTATATATGTGTGTATATATAAATAGATATATGTATGATTATAATTTTGTTAAATGATATGATCCCTGTTGTGGAGTAGCTCACAGGCTAGTGGAAGATATAGACCAGTAAATAGTACCACGATATTTTTACTTACCTTAAATTAAGTAATGATAATGGAAAAAGTGGGCCTCTTTATTAATACATGTTAGTTATTGTTTATATTACTGTAAAGCTCTCTCCCCAACACACATACACAGTGTTGATTATTCACCTGGCCAAAGTTGGGCTGATCATGTTTTGTTTTGTGGACCTGGCAATTAGATTCAGGGATTCTTTTTTTTTTTCCGTTTTTCTTGAGACAGCATCTCACTCTGTTGTCCCGGCTAGAGTACCATGGCATCACCCTAGCTCATGGCAACCTCAACCCCCTGGGCTCAAGGGGCCCTCCTGCCTCAGCCTCCGGAGTAGCTGGCACTACAAGCATGTGCCACCATGCCTGGCTAATTTTTTCTATTTTTGATAGAGACAGGGGTCTTGCTCTTGCTCTGCTGGTCTCGAACTCCTGAACTCAAATGATCCACCCGCCTCAGCCTCCCAGAGTGCTAGGATTACAGGCGTGAGCCACCACGCCAGGATTGATTCAGGGATTCTTAATTATCTTCTGAAGCTGGCTAGAACTATAGCAAGTGAGCTGAAGAGCTTGGAGCAGCCATATTCTACCAAGTGGGCCAGAAAAGTACAGTGAGGAAGAAGCAGGGATAGCAGATGGAGTGAGAGTCCAGATGGTATTCAGCTAATAGATATAGCTCCTCTCTTAGACCTCTTTAATGTACCTGTGTATTTTCAAATTCTCCATTTTGCTATTATTTGTATCCTGAAGGTCTTAATTTATAGAAATATTTTCCCATAAATTTGTTAATATTTTCTCATATGTTTATTTAGAGGAATAAAAGAGATAATGCATATAAAATACTTAGCAAAGGACCTGGCACATGTAAGCACTCAATAAACAATAATAATGCCTGTTTACTCAATGTTGTAAGATAATTCTCCATGAGTCTCTCATGTTTCTGCATATCTTGCAAGCAGAGATCTCTCTGCCTTTTGTTACGGACTCTTTTTTTAAGGCAGTTTGTATAATGAACAATCTTGGGAAATATAGTGTCTCCCTCTGGAGCGAAAGGCCTAATGCTCACTGCC